TTCTTGTAAAAATAAATACATATTGTACATACTTTTTCTTAATGAACAAAAAAATATATCCCACAAAAGGAAAGGAGGAAAAGATACACACCTCAACTCAAAAATGTTGTGTCATAATAATAAAAAGAAGAAGAAGATTGATCAACCTTATACTATTTAATCGGAAACAAAAGGGAAGAGTGGACAACTCTCAACAAAATAACAAATGAATTTTTAAATGGTGATACAATAGGAAACCTTGTTGATTTTTGTAATATATGCAACAAATTGCATAGAGTTGTCTGGCATGTTGTTGACTGATATTTAAATGAAGTGACTTTAAAATTCATATTATTGATTATCTTGTGTATTGAAATCCCATCTACTATTCTTTTAAGTTTTAACCATATTTTATTTATTGATTAATTACCTAGAATGTATGATTGAAAGACCCACCAATAAACAATGAAATTCACGAGAATATCATTTATTGTGAATGAAGGGAGAGACTCATTTACAATTAGTGAATTTCGTGAGGTTAATGAAGGTGTCTCAATGTCGTACCCAATCATCTTATTTTAGATATTGATTCTCAAATACTCAAGTTGACTCATATTTTTTGTGAAGTATTCCAACTCAAATTATAGTCCTCCTAATTATTGAGGTTGATTGCATAAATTGTGTTGTTTAATTCTTAAAATTTGTTTTATGTAATTTAAGTTTTCAAAGGATTAACCTTGAAGTTGTCATTACCTTATATAAACCCAAACGTGTCACACAGTTCATATAGAGGTCGTTTGGTTGCAGTGTTAAGTGATATATTTAAGAATTATAATAAATTTAAACTCTCTAATCTAACTTCATATTACATTTGGTTACATAAAATATTCCATTTTATATACAGTTTTATTTTAAATATTTACTAAAATAATATACTTTATATGTACTATTGAGGCGATTATAATATCACTTAGGGATGTGATATTATAGTTTAGTTTAAACATATTAAGTTATAAATTTATTATTTTACTCATCAAATAATAAAAAATATTAATAACTAGATAAAATTGATGATTTTTTTTGTCAATATGTAATTAATGATATATTATAACACCCTTATATATTGTCCTATCAAACACTGGATTATAATGAGTATCAACTTTATCCCATATTTAAGGTATATTTGGATAACGGGTTAAAGGTAGATAACTATGGTAGGATAAGATAAAAAAATATATGAGGTTCATATATCCTATGTTTGGTAAGTAAAAAATGCATAAGAAATCTCATTTATAAATTTTTCTGACTCAATTTGAAAAGTTAACTTTAACCCACCTACAAGGGTTAAAATGAAACCAAAAGGGCTTGGGATTTTTTGATAGACAGGATATGTAATACAATTTATGGATATCCCACCCTAAGTCAAGAGATCACCATATCATCTGTCATTGCCAAGAATAAGCGTTGTTCTCTTGAGCTCATTGTAATATGCTCTTGTTTTTTTATGGTTACAACATATTTAGAAATATTTATTCTATATTTGAATGAGTTGTTAAAAAAATTAGATGTGAAAGTGTATTTTTTTTTTTTGAATGGGTTGGAGACAAATTTATAAACCAAACATGGTAGTAGATTGGATAGGATAGAGGTATAATAGTCGATGAAAGAAAATTATATCATTGTTATCCATGGGCCTCACAAAAAATGTATAATCTATTCAAACAAACGAAATGTGGGATATACCAATTTATATCTTATCCGGATGAAAGTTGGGTGGATTTGGATTGGATAAGAAATGATATATTTTTAGATATCCAATTTACTCCAACACTACTATCCAAATATGCACTTAATATTGTATTTTATCTGTAGATATTGAATTAGCATGTATTAACTAATACAACATTTTCATTTAGGGACAATTACACCCAAATTCATTGAAATTTGTCACTTAATCACTTAAGACCTCTGACATTTAAAATATTATATATAGACCCCTTGAAGTTTGTATGCTCGTAACATTTAAACTTCTTCCGTTAGTGTCTGTTAGTTTATTCGTTAGTAAATTACATTTAAATCATCTAAATTTTTTAAATGTATAATATTTAGACCACGCAATTTTAAAATATTATACTTAAACAAAAAATGCTCAAATTAAAGATAGAATATATCAAATAATTTAAAATTTTTAACCAAAATATATGTTATATTATGTCATTTATTGAAATAAAATTAAAAATAAAAATATAATTTTTTCTTTAAAAAATAATAATTAGTATACAATTATACTATTTATTAGAATATAACTAAAAAAATAAAATAAGAGTTCAAACCATAATGGACAAAATATCTTCTATTTTTAATTGGGGTAATTTGATTGTTTAATAGATTTTGTTAGTTTTGTAACTAATAAGAGATCGAAGTGTAATTTTTTAAATTTGAAAAATGTAAGTGTTACGCACCTATAAACTTCAAAGAATCTGTATGTAATTTATTAACGGATATTCTAATGAACATTGAATACAGAGTCTAAGTGTTATGCGCATACAAATTTTAAGAGTCTGTGTGTAATATTTTAAATATTAAAATGTTTAAGTAATTAAATAACAAACTTCAAGGGACTTACATGTAATTATCTCTTCCTTTAAGAATATGGCAACCAGATCTTTTTATGTAGGGATGACAGTAAACCGAAACAGGGGGTGTAGTCTCCATCCTCGTACCCACTTAAAAAAATTTCGTCCATCCTTAGTTCACCCTCGTTAACGGATATAATTTTTATTCTCATCCCCGTCTTCGGGTAAATTTGTAATTGTCACGCCTTGAGTTTTTTTTTCCTTTTAAAAAAAAATACCCGAGCATGATTAAGGTATAAAATCACACTGAACTTATGATAACCTTTATTGTATTATTATATTCAACATATAATTACATAATCTTCTCTCGATCAGTTAAAATATTTTTGATATAACATAAAGAGAAATATAATAGCAGTCTTGATGTCCATCGTCCTTTTAGCTTGTCCTTCTGTCTGACTTCATATTTATGAAAAATGTTAGATAGAGATGAACTCACCAACCTAGTAAGATATCGTTTATCAATGACTATCAAGGTTTGAAAACAATACATACTGTAATTACACAGCAGATAAATGCAGGAATAAGACAAAATAATGAATCAAATAAATAAATAACTTTCAACACATATCGATCATATAAATTCGTCAATTTTCTTGTCCATACATGAACCGTTTCCAGAGAAAAACTTGGGGGTTTCGCACCCTAGGAAACCTAATGCCCTTCTTACTTTTCTACAAATGCCAGTACCTAGAATTATGTGGTGGCACACAGGCTACCACAACAAACCGATATTACTAACTAGTGAACCCAAGGACTAGTAAGAATCCTATGAATTCATGCAATGATCACGCATCTACTAACCCTCTGCCCTCGATTATGTGCATTCATAGTAATTTCTTCAAAATTATAAAATAAAGTCATATCGTAGTCAGACCTTACAATAAATCAAACATTAAATAATAAATATAAAAAAATATTTATTATGCAACGTGATTTCATAATATAATTTGGGTTTCGATAAAAATACAACATGTGTATGATCACGATTTATTTATAAAATTTCAGTTTAATCTCATGATTATAGCGATATAATATTATGTTATATACTTAAAAATACATTTGATATGAAACCCTCAAATATGCATAAAATGCATAAATAATAATAAAAAATAAAAGAAATTCTACCTCTTAATCACAAAATTGCACTCCTAAATCAACAAAAATTTGACCTTAAAAGAAATGAAGGGAGAGGAAGAGAAAGTGATAAAAAAGGAAGGGCTGGAGGATGGCTTTTTATAGCCAAATCCTTGGCTTCCTTACTCCCGGCTGACGGCATTTATTTGCCTCACTTAGTGCATCACATGGAGAAATGTCCATTTCTTTGTTCATAAGGTTTTTTTTTTTTTTTCTTGCTAATAGACCATGTGTCTATTATATATATATTTTTAACACCCTTGACATAACATGACACCTATACATTTACAATATATACAAATATATACACACACACACACATATATATATATACATACACACACACACACACACACACACACATATATATATATATATACACGTATTCATTATATGATTACGAAATTTGATCTAACACGTGCATAATTTATATTTGAAGTTCATTTATTTTTAAAAAAAATCTCAATTATATAAAATCATAATTAATGACCTAATTTGCATGTCAATGATTAATTAATATACGGGCTGTCCCCATCCCCGCCCCGTCCACCTTACCCGCCCAATACAAAGCCCAAATTCAAGCCAATGTAATCCAAAATTTTAAATAAATTTAACATTCTAAATAATCCAACATAATTATAAAATATCATAACATAATTACAAGTTTGTCATTTACAACATAATATAATTAAAATCTTGTCTACAATATAATCCAACATAATATAATTAAAAGTTTGTCTCCCTTATAAATTCAGCACAATATAATGCAACACAATATAATGTAACATAACAAAATTTAACATAAAAAAATATAAAAATACAAAACTCTACATTTTTACAAACCAAAACCATGAAAAAAAATTAAAAAACAAAATAATTTAAAATAATAATAATTATTTAATAATATGTAGATTTGTATTCATAGAAGTATAATAATAATAATAATAATAACCGGTAAAGCAGGAGGGCAGTGTTAGTCTATTCTCGCATTTATTTTCGCACGAATTTATATGAATATTCTTGTATACGTTCACCATTCAATCCATATAGTTCATCCCCAGTCCAAACATAGTAGATTTGGATGAATATCATTTTTTCTCGATTCACTGCCATCTTACTTTTATCCAACATTTTGTGTGTAGAACGGCGTCGTTTTGTGGAACACACCCACGATGTACGGCAGCATCTGTTCTTGTTTATACAAGGCCAAGTTCGTCATTAATGTAGGGTATAGTCGAAGAGAGTTTCGCAAATCCCAATTCGCCGCTCAAAGCTCCTCTATCCATCCGAAACACAGACAATCCCTCTCTTCCCCTGCGAAATAGCCGACTGCAACCGCAGTTCCGAAACCCTAGCCCTAGCAAATAGCCCTAAATAATTTGGATTTGTTTCTCGTAATCATTCTTTCGAGTACTAATGCTCGCTTTGTTCCGATCTGTTGCGTTGAGCTCGGAAGGTTGCATTATCAGATTCGATAATGAAGGTCTGGAAGGAGAATCAATTAGAACTGGCAGTTTGCAACCCTACGGCGTCGTTTCAGGATTCGTTGGCCTTGCAGAAGGAGCTCTTCCAAAGCCAGATCGATCAGCTCGAAGACATTGTCGTCACGCAATGCAAACTCACTGGTGTCAATCCTCTCTCTCAAGAGATGGTGCGTCTGTTTCTTTTCTCAATTTTATTCCCAGGAATTTATATGTTTGTCTTTCTGGTTGCCGAGAAAACCTAATTCTTATGTTCGTTTGAGTGGAATTTGCTGTTTCTTTGGTTAAGAAATAGTGAATATAGGATTTGGGCTTTTGATTTCTGTTGTTTTGGCTGTTGAGTTAACGGATTTGGATGGTTCCTGGTTGACAGAAGCTTTTTTGTTTTAAAAGTTCGAGGTTTAGAATGAAGCCTGAATTGTTTTTCTTTTTTACCAAAAATTGAAGGTTCAGATTTGCTAATATACACTTACCAAAAACTGAGGTTCACAGTGCATTTATATTTGTCTGAAAGCCACACAACCATGAATGAAGCAATGCCAGGAATCATGCTTATGCTGAAATAGTTAACAGTGACTCTGTTTTAATTCAAGATTGAAGTTATAACGTCACATTCTAAGCTGGGTGTTGTCCTGTTTACTCCACAATATATCGAAGCATGAGTGCAATTTTCCTTTTGTAGTATAAGAGGAACCTTACTGTCATTTATTTGGTTGAAGTAGCCTAGTGTTTTTTATGTCATGCTGATTACTCATCCATTTTTTACCTTGAAATGCAGGCTGCTGGCGCTCTATCAATTAAAATTGGTAAGTCTACTGACTAGTTAGTGGAAACAGTTGTATTTAAATGTGCTTAACTTATACTATGTTTTGTGACGATTTTTGGGTACAAGGTGGTATCCTAAGACTGATAGTACATGTGCTTCATGTCTCTTTGACCATAGATTTGGATCACTTGCAGTATTGTCTCATAAGTTATGCCTGTTGGCAATTTGATAACATTTTTTGCAGGAAAAAGACCTAGAGATTTGCTAAACCCTAAGGCTATAAAGTACATGCAATCGATTTTCTCCGTCAAAGATGCTATTACCAAGAAGGAATCTCGTGAGATTAGTGCTCGTTTTGGTGTTACAGTCACACAGGTTTCCTTTTACATTTCCTTTTTTGTTTAAGGTTTTTTTCCCTGCCATTTATCATATCATGCTCTTACATAATCCACATGCAATGAATTTTTGAACGTCTCCTGCACCATGGCCAAATAATTTTTTTTTTTTGAGGGGGGATGCAGGAGAGATGGATGAAATCCATTGGTTGTTTTGTACTTATGTGTTTAGATTGTTTGTGTAAATACTAGACTTCCAAAAACCATAAATTTGGGTTTCCTTTTTTTTTGTGTGTGTTGGTTTTGTTTTTTGTTTTTTTTTTGCGGGAGGGGGGGGGGGGGGGTGTTTTG